ATTATTTCAACAAAAGTTCCCTCGCCTTGATTTTTTTGCTTGAATTGTTCAATTCTTTAGTTTTCAAGTTTAAAATTTTCCAACTTTTGATTTTTTCAATTTTTATATTCTGCAATTTTTCAATTTTTTATTTTCGTTATTTTTTCACTTACTCGATTTATCAGTGTTTCAATTTTATTTTTTGTTTTTTCAATTTAAATTTTTTCAGTTTCTGGTTTTTCAATTTGTCGATTTGCAATTTTTCAATTTTTATTTTTTTTTTGTTAGTATTTGCTAAGATAAGACTAATTTTGGCAAATCACATACCCTCCAAGAAGATAGAGGGCGGGTGGGTGGGCCTAGTACATGCTAAGATAAAACTAATCTTGGCAAATCACAATACCGTCTAAGAAAATAGAGGGTGGGTGGGCGGGGCTACTGCTTGCTCTTTAGAAAAACCTATACTCAGCTCCGCCCACTTATTGTCACCATTTCTCTGACTTATTTTTATTTACTGCAAAATGTGAATTGAAATCTATTTTAACACGCGGTAAAATCTAAGATTTAAAACATTTCAGTTTTTAATTATTAAATTGTTCGATTTTTCAATTTTAAAATTATAAAATCGAAAGAAACATTGAAAAAATAAAGGGATTGTAAAAAGGAAAAATTGTGATATGAAATCGACAAAATGAAAATCAAAAAATCGAGAATAGGAAAAACAAAAATCAACGATTTGAAAAATTGAGGAAACGAAAAATTGAAAAATCGAAAAATTAAAAACGAAAAGTTGTAAAATCGAAGAACTCAACATTGAAACATTGAAAAACTAAAAATCGAGAATCTTAAAAATCGAAAAAACTAATGAATCGAAAAATTGGTAAGAAAAAAAAACGAATCGAATCGAAAATTTGGAAAACCCAAAAATTGTCAAATCCAAAAATTATAGGATCGTCAAAACTGTAAAGTCGAAAAACTGGAACATTACAAGATCAAAAAATTCAAAGAGTAACTATCGAGAAATTCATAAATTAAAATGCGAATAAATGAAAAAGTTCCAAAATCCAGTTGTGAAATGAGGATCATTAAGAAATGAAAACTAGAAAAATTGCAACTCAAAAATTGAAGAAACTAAAAATATAAAATCTAAAAATAGAAAAATTGAAAACCGAGAAATTGAAAAATCCAAAAACTGAAAATTTTTACATTACAGAAAAAAGAGATATTATAAAATCAGAGTATTGGAAAACCAAAAATTGCAGAAACATAGAAAATAAAAACCGAAACGAAAAATAGGAAACTTGTGAAGTTGCAAAATCAAAAAATTGCTCAAAGATTAGTTTAACAAAACTTCCTTCGCCTCGATTTTTTGCTTGAATTTTTCAATTCTTCAATTTTTCTTTTTTTTTCGTCAGTTTTTCGACTTGCATTTTTTCGAGTTTTCAAATTTAAAACTTTCAATTTTCCAACTTTTGATTTTTTCAATTTTTATATTTTGCAATTTTTCGGTTTTTAATTGTCCTTATTTTTTCACTTAATCGATTTTTCAGTGTTTCGATTTTATTTTTCAATTTTAATTTTTTTGTCAGTACATGCTAAGATAAAACTAATTTTGGCAAATCACATACCTTCTAAGAAAATATTGAAAAAATAACGGAATTGTAAAAAGGAATAATTGTTATATGAAATCGACAAAATGAAAATCAAAAAATCGAGAATATGAAAAACAAAAATCAAGAACTTGGAAAATTGAGGGAACGAAAAATTGAAAAATCATAAAATTAAAAACGAAAAATGGAACAATTATAAAATCGAAGAACTCAACATTGAAACATTGAAAAACTAAAAATCGAGAATCTTAAAAATCCAAAAAAAACTATTGAATCGAAAAATTGGAAAGAAGAAAAAACGAATCGAATCGAAAATTTGGAAAACCCAAAAGTTATAGAATCGTCAAAACTGTAAAGTCGAAAAACTGGAACATTGCAAGATCAAAAAATTCAAAAAGTAACTGTCGAGAAATTCATAAATTAAAAAGCGAATAAATGAAAAAGTTTTAAAATCCATTTGGTAAATAAGAATCATTAAGAAATGAAAACTAGAAAAATTGCAAATCAAAAATTGAAGAAACGAAAAATATAAAATCTAAAAATAGAAAAACTGAAAACCGAAAAATTGAAAAATCCAAAAACTGAAAATTTTTACATTAAAGAAAAAAGAGATATTATAAAATCAGAGTATTGGAAAACCAAAAATTGCAGAAATATAGAAAATAAAAACCGAAACGAAAAATAGAAAACTTGTGAAATTGCAAAATCAAAAAATTGCTCAAAGATTATTTCAACAAACTTTCCCTCGCCTCGATTTTTTGCTTAAATTTTTCAGTTATTCAAGTTTTCATTTTTTTTCTGCAGTAAAACATTATAAAACTTAAAATAATTATTACTTATTAAGTTATTACATATATAAAATGAAAACTAGAAAAATTGCAAATCAAAAATTGAAGAAACGAAAAATATAAAATTAAAAACAGAAAAACTGAAAACCGAAACATTGAAAAATCCGAAAGTTGAAAATTTTCACATCAAAGAAAAAAGAAAAATGATAAAATCAGAGCATTGGAAACCCAAAAATTGCAGAAATTGTGGAAGATTATCTCAACAAAACTTCCCTCGCCTCGATTTTTTGCTTGAATTTTTCAATTCTTCAGTTTTCAAGTTTAAAATTTTCTAACTTGAATTTTTGAATTTTTATATTTTGCAATTTTTCAATTTTTATTTTTTTTTTCTTAGTATTTGCCAAGATAAGACTAATTTTGGCAAATCACATACCCTCTAAGAAGATAGAGGGCGGGTGGGCGGGCCTAGTACATGCTAAGATAAAACTAATGTTGGCAAATCACATACCCTCAAAAGAAAATTGGGGGTGGGTGGGCGGGGCTACTGCTTGCTCTTTCGAAAAACCTATACTCAGCTCCGCCCACTTATTGTCACCATTTCTCTGACTTTTTTTATTTACTGTAAAATGTGAACTGAAATCTATTTTAACAAGCGGTAGAATGAAAGATTTAAAAAAGTGAAAAGAGGCCCCGCCCACTCACCCTTATTCCGTTTTTATTATTCATTCTTATTGGCTCCGAAGAAAGAATTTCACGAGTGAAGTCGAGAAAATGAAAATCAAAAAATCGAGAATATGAAAAACAAAAATCAAGAACTTGAAAAATTCAGGAAACGAAAAATTGAAAAATCGTAAAATTAAAAACGAAAAATGAAAAATTATAAAATCGAAGAACTCAACATTGAAACATTGAAAAACTAAAAATCGAGAATCTTAAAAATCGAAAAAAACTGATGAATCGAAAAATTGGAAAGAAGAAAAAACGAATCGAATTGAGAATTTGGAAAACCCAAAAATCAAATGCAAAAATTATAGAATTGTCAAAATTGTTAAGTCGAAAAACTGGAACATCGCAAGATCAAAAAATTCAAAAAGTAACTGTCGAGAAATTCATAAATTAAAAAGCGAATAAATGAAGAAGTTTTAAAATCCAATTGAGAAATGAGAATCATTAAGAAATGAAAACTAAAAAAATTGCAAATCAAAAATTGAAGAAACAAATACAAAATCTAAAAACAGAAAAACTGAAAACCGAAAAATTGAAACATCCAAGTTGAAAATTTTCACATTTAGGAAAAAAGAAAAATTATAAAATCAGAGCATTTGAAAACCAAAAATTGCAGAAATAAAGAAAATAAAAACCGAAACGAAAAATTGAAAACTCGTGAAATTGCAAAATCAAAAAATTGGTCGAAGATTATTGCAAAAAACTTCCCCCGCCTCAATTTTTTGCTTGCATTTTTTAATTCTTCAATTTTTCAGTTTTTTCGATTTTTCAGTGTTTCGATTTGCAATTTTTCAGTTTTTATTTTTTTTTTGTTAGTGCTTGGTAAGATAAGACTGATTTTGGCAAATCACATACCCTCTAAGAAGATAGAGGGCGGGTGGGCGGGCCTAGTACATGCTAAGACAAAACTAATTTTGGCAAATCACGTACCTTCTAAGAAAATAACGGGTGGGTGGGCGGGGCTAGTACTTGCTAGGATAAGATTGAATAATATCAAGGGTAGTCACTGGAATGAAGAGGGGTCGGTCGGCAGGGCTACTGCTTACTTATAAAACTTGTCACCATTTCATTGACTTTTTATTTACTGTAAAATGTGATTGAAATCTATTTTAACAAGCGGATTTAAGATTTAAAACAAAGTGAAAAGAGGCCCCTCCCACCCACCCTTATTCCGTTTTCATCAGTTTTCAGTTTTTAATTATTCAATTTTTCGATTGAATAACTTGAAAAATTGAGGAAACGAAAAATTGAACAAATGAAAAAATCTGATATATGGAAAATTTAAAATCGAACAAAAAGGAAAAAGGAAAAATTGTAATGTCAAAAAATTGATCGAAGGTAAATAAATCCAGATTTTTCAAAAAGTTATGAGATTTGATCTCATCATCGGTCCAGTAGTTTCACAGATGATCTGTCTAATAAAAATCTGGACCGACGGCAGACAGACAGACAGACAGACAGCTTACGCTTAAAAACATTAAAAATGAAGGAATAATAACAACAAAGAATTGAAAAATTAAAAAAAATTGTAAAAAGGGTGCAATGCTCAAATTAACCAATAAATTATTCGCTGCTATCTGTGAAAGCGTCTAGGGCAAAAGAATCTGCCATCGATTAAGAAGACAATTCTCAGGTAGAAGTACATAATGTCGTAGGTGCGAAAAATAATAATTGGTGTCTTTATGAAACAAAGGAGAGCTTGTAAAAGAAAAAAAATGACTGGGAAAAAATTTGGGTACACAAAAATCCAGGTACTGTTCTAGAACTTTCGTTTTCTACTTTTTTGATTAAATTTTGAGTGTGTTCGAAACGTTGCAACCTCGCTCCACTCAGAAACGCCGCCACCGCCGCCCCCGCTCGCCCCCATTTCATGTATTAATCTCCTTTTCCACAACAGTGCCAACTGAACGAACTGAAAAGCGGCCAGGCTCCCTCTGCCCTCCGCGCCACCTTGCTCGACCCCGCCGTCAACTGCATCCTCCAGCAGCTCAAGAGCGAGCTGCAGTCCACCAGGTCGAAGCTCGAGGACACCCAGAACGAGCTGACCGCGTGGAAGTTCACCCCCGACTCGAACACCGGCAAGCGCCTCATGGCCAAGTGCCGCCTGCTCTACCAGGAGAACGAGGAGCTCGGCAAGATCACGAGCTCCGGCCGCATCGCCAAGCTCGAGAGCGACCTCGCCCTGCAGAGGAGCTTCTCCGAGGAGGTGCGGCAGTCGCAGAACGAGCTCGACGCCTTCCTCGCCGACCTCGACGAGGACGTGGAGGGCATGCAGAGCACCATCCTGTTCCTCCAGACCGAGCTGCGGAAGAGCAAGGAGGCGGCCCAGCTGCTGCAGAAGGAGAACAGCGCGCTCAAGCTGGCCAACGGCAGGTCGAACGGTGACAGTGTGTGTGAGCAGGAACGGACGGACTCGGACTCGGAGGCGGAGAGGACTTGTGTGAAACGAGTGCGAAGGTCGTCCGTCCTCAGTATCGACTATAACGAGGACGACGCTCTGGTTATCAGCACGAACGGTGACGCGGCGATGGCCTCCGACCCGGAGTAGTGGCCCGGAGGAACAAAAACTGACGAACAGTATATTACAATTGTATATATCATAGCCTAATGTGGTTGTTTGAGATGTGACTATCATTATTACATTGTGTTAAGCACTGCGGCGCAGTAAGAATTTCTCCTAAGTAGGTTCGAGATTTTATCAGTTCTTTCTGTTATCATGGTGTGCTTTCTTTTATCTATTTCTCGTTCGCATTTTATTACAGACCTGTTTGCAATTCAGACAGTTGGAAATTTTTTTAACGTTTTTATGTTGAAAGTTGTATTTATAAAATAAAACAAAAAAATTATATCACTTATTACTGATCCGCTTGTTTTAATAGAAATCGAACCGGTTTGAACTTACCGCTGGAATTGACGTTTGGTAGTTTGGTGTCTAGTGACTTTCGCCCGCGCAGGCTTACCAACGTGAATTAGTGGCGTCGTCCAGCGATTATTTTCCAGTTGGAATTTTTCCGTTTCAGTGTTAGAACGACCTCGTGAGACACAAAACCGACGAAAACTATCACCGATAGTTGGAAATACCCGACTAGTTGCAACAATTCACAAAAATGTAAGTAGGAAGAATTTGAGGTTATGTTTATTTGGGGCGCCGCGGCATTGAAATTCAGCCACAAACTAGTGTGTCGATATTGTTGTTTTGTTCGCGTGTTGATTTCACCGATTAGTTCTTACTTTGTTTGCTTTAGGGCGAAGATAGGTTCTGATTCAGAAAAAGATGATAAAGATAAGAAAAAAGAACGTGGAAGAGACCGTAAACGAAGAAGTGAGTCTGGTTCAAGCAGCAGTGATAGTAGTAGAAGGTACGTCAGATAAGGTTAATTATAATAATGTTTTTTCATGCTTTAAATACACAGTGTTTGCACCAGTAAGATAAACATTAGTACAAAGCCATTGTTGTTCAAATACTACTCAATGTACCGGGTGACTTTCTTGATTTGTGATCTAGTTATCCAAGAATTTGTTGACAGAATGAGAAGTGGTAAGTTTTTGAATTTCACAACATAACCTGGATGTGGCTTGTCTGTGGGTGAACTTAGAAAGCTAGGTTATGTTATGTCAACAAGAGTGAGACCCCAATTTGCTGCGAAAGCCTTCTTAAAGTTGTATGGGGATTTCGTTTCCTTAATGTGCGACTTTCTGGTTTCCTCTTAATGCACCAGTATCATATAACTGAGCGTCCTTGAAAACATTTTTCTCGAGATGAAAATTCTGTTTTTGCGCCAAAACACACCTGGATAGTTTTCATTCACTTCCAAATAAAGAACTACTGTGTAAGATTTGTTCCCTTTTTTTATTTTCCGGGCGTAAGCTAAAGTTGTAATCGAGTCCATCGGACGAATGGTCACTTTTATGCTTTCTCGACGTTGCATGACCCCTACAGTACGAAAAAAGTAGTCTCCCATTTCCGTCTGTCTGTCTGTCTGTCTTCCGTGTCTATCCATTTTTATTAGAAATTTTGCATGTATGTTAGACATATCATGTGGATGGTTAAATGCTAACCAACAATTTGATGACGTCATCACAAGTTTTTCATTGGTCAAATTAATAATAATAATGTTTATTGCCCAACAGCTCATATGAACCTATTACAGAGCAATTGATGAAAACTAAAGTACTATCAATACAAAAAAAGAAAAGTAAATAAATAAGTACAAATAAATATACCGGATACCTGAATAATAAGTCTAAATTAAGAGTTACTTAGCAAGTAGAAAACAGACGAAAAAGATAAGATAAAGTAAAAAAAAAAAATAATAATAATAATTCTAAACATAAGTGATAATTAATAATTACTCTCTTGCGAAGATACTTAAAGCTAAATACTTAAGATCTTTTAGATTTATATTAAAAATGTCACAATCTCTCAGTTTGTTGTTAAAATTACTACACATAACATTAATCGGGCTTTTTACCAAAATATTTGTGCGAGCGGTGGATAGATGCCAAGGTAAAGAGTGTCTGTTATTTACACGTGGTACATGAAAGAAGACTTTGGCCAAAAGTTCACTGCAGTCAATTTTATAATTGACGATTTTAAAAAGAAACATTACAGCACTAACTTCTCTTCTAGCATGTAAAGACGGTACTCTCTTTGAAGTATCAAATTGTCACATCCTCTAGCAGGGTAGGTGCCATATTTTTTAAACCATAAATATTTAAGAAATTTTTTTTGAACTGATTCGATGACATTAATATAGCAATAATAGATTGGATACCAAATTAGGCAAGCATACTGTAAGCGTGATATAATGTACGTATTAAACAGCATTTTCATACGTTCAGTAGAATTGAAGTCACGACATTGTCTAATTATAAATCCAAGCAAAGAGAGTGAATGTTTTACTACTTCATCAATATGGAACCGAAAAGAGAGCCGAGAATCAAAATAAATTCCCAAATCTTTTACAACATCACACCTGGTGACGTGTTCTCCATTTATTGTGTAATCAAATACAATAAGAGATTTTTTATTACCAAATGACACAATTTTACATTTACTAATATTCAAGAAGAAGTTATTATTAGAACACCAAATTGTAAGTTTATGTAAGTCCTCCTGAAGTTGCAAAGCATCATTAAGATCATTTATAATACAAAAAAGCTTAGCATCATCTGCATATAATAGAATGTGACAATTCAGTGAATCAGGGAGATCATTGATAAAAACAGAAAAAAGTAGGGGTCCAAGATTGGAGCCCTGGGGAACACCGGATACTGCCTTAAAGAAGAATGACGAAAAACCATTGTAAAAAACGTATTGCAATCTATCACTTAAGTATGATCTTATAAGTTCCAAAAGTTTACCAGAAAAACCGTACGATTCTAACTTTAACAATAATAACCTGTGATCAATTCGGTCGAAGGCCTTTGCAAAGTCTGTGTAAACGGTGTCAACTTGGGACTGATTGTCAAGTGCCTCTGAAAGAAATTGTGAAAAACATGTGAGATTTGTTTCAGTGGAGCGTTTACTCATAAAACCATGCTGTTGAGGCGTTATGTAATTCTGAATATGAAAATAGATATGCGAGTACAGAACTATCTCAAAGATTTTAGCGAAGTTTGAAATTATGGATATTGGTCGATAATTACTGACATTCGATTTTTCACCTGATTTAAATATCGGGGTAACTTTAGAGGTTTTCCATTTTGAGGGAAAAGTACCAGTACTAAGAGCAACATTAAAGATTATTGACAGAGGCTGGACAAACAAACCTGCACAGTCACGTAATACAAAGCTTGGTATTTGATCTGGCCCTGCTGTAAAAGAATTTTTAATATTACGTAAAGCAGACAAGATGTCTTTATCAGTGATTTTACTGATATTTATGGGAAGAGAGTGAACTCCAGCTGTAAATTTATGTGACGATGAATTTTGCGACGAAGTGTAAGAAGTCTGAAAATACATAGCGAATGCATTAACTATGTCATTAGGTGAATTTAATATATTATCATTGTAAGCCATCTTACCCGGAATTCTTGTAAGACCTTTTTTTGATTTAACATAAGACCAAAATATTTTAGGATCTTTGGAGATATTTGTTTGCATAGAGTCAGTATATTTTTTGTAAGCAGCTTTTATATGGTTTTTAATAATCTTACGGTAATATTTAAATTTAGAGTAGTAAAATTCGTTAAGTGACTGTTTAAATTTTTTGTGATAATAAGATTTAAATTTAATATTTTTAATAATAGAGAGATCGAACCAAGGTGGATACTGCACTTTATCTTGATGATTATGATGTACTGGAACATGCTTATCCAAAACTTGATATAAAATGTCATAAAAACGCTCGGTTAGAATATCAATGTCATCAGAAGTATTTAAAACTGACCAATCAATGTTACACAGATCATGATAGAGGAAGTGAAACCTGGCTTTTTTAAAGTTATATACACTAGTATTAGGTGAATTATTAGTGGGGAAGCTATTAAATGTAGTGTTAGTTATGTTAACCACAATAGAGAGAGCAGGGTGGTAGCTGTCCTCTACAATTAAAGGGGAATCATCGTGTTTGACAGAACAATCAACATAGGCAAAAACAAGATCTAGTAGCCTGCTGTTTCTATTTTTAATAACATTGTATTGCTCTAAATTTAAAAATTTACAAAAATTATTAAGAGTATTAACAAGAATATTATCATTGTTTATTATGAATTCTGGAACGAGTCACCTATTTGAATATCAAATGGTGAATCTGAGGTTAGAATTATGTCCAACATTTTGTAAAAAAACAAAGTGTCTGATATAATTCGAACCTCAAATTTACCATTTGATGCTTTCAGTATTCTATTGTTGAAAGAAAACCGTATTAAGAAAAAAAGGCAGATTTTGGATTTTTCGATTTTTCAGTTTCTCCATTCTCCAAATTTTCGATTTCCCGATTTCACTACGACTTTTCGATTTTTGGATTCCTCGACTTCCATTTTTCGCTATTTCAATTTTTCAGTGTCTCGATTTTTAGAATTTTGGAATTTTGCGACCTTTCGATTTTGCAGTTTTCAAGTATTTTTAACTTTTCGATTTTTCGACTTTCGGATATTTGGGTTGTTGGACTTTTCGATCGGAAATATCGATTTTGCAATTAAGCTCCGCCCCCCGGCTCACGACCAATAAAAAAACATCACAAGTGAAATAGGGTGCGTGGGTGGGACTTATATTTGTCCTGTTTTTTTAAATCTTCTTTTCATAACAGGAAACTTAAAAAATGTTCAAAATGGTAAATTTTTGTAGAGAAATATGGATTTGGTAATTAAGCTCCGCCCCTCCGTCATACAACGAATGAAAAATTTATCACAATTGAGATCGGGGCGGGTGGGTGGACCTTAATCGTTATTTACAGTTTTCTCTCAACAATAAAATATTTGAAATATCAAATGGTGAATTTGAGGTTAGAATTATATCCGATGTTTCGTAAATTAACGAAGTGACGGATATAATCCTAACCTCAAATTCCCCATTTTAAGTATTCTATTGTTGAAAGGAAACTGTATTAAGAAAAAAGGCAAAGATATCCGATTTTTCAATTTGTCGGTTTATTGAATTTTGAATTTTTCGACCTTTCGATTTTGCAATTTTCAAATATTTTAATTTTTCGATTTTTGGTTTTTTCGATTTTTCCACTTAAATTTTTCAATTTCTCGATTTTTCGAATTTCCGATATTTGGGTTCGACTTTTCGATTGGAAATATGGATTTTGCAATTAAGCTCCGCCCCTCGATTGACGACCAATAAGAAAAATCATTCCAAGTGAAATAGAGTGGGTGGGTGATTGGGGCTCATATTTAGCCTTGTTTTTTTAACATATGTAATCTCTTTTTCATAACAAGAAACTTAAAACTTGTTCAAAATGGTAAATTTTTGTAGATAAATACGGATTTTGCAATTAAATATAAATAAATAACTTTTAGTATTACATTGTACTAATTCAAGTTGATATACGTGTCCTTGTTAAGAAAAAACTCAACTCGAAAATGTAGAATATGTTTCATTGTACTACAGGAGCGAGGGAAGTTCTGTTGAAACAACTTTCGACCTGTTTTTTTTTTATTTTATTGTAATCGAGTCCGTCGGCTGAATCCCAACTTTTATGTTTTCTTGACCTTTCATGTCCCCCATTTCCGTCGGTCTGTCCGTCTGTCTGCCGTCTGTCCGGATTTTTATTAGACAGATAATCTCCGAAAGTACTAGGCCGATTGTTGTCAAATTTTGTATTTATATAAGGAAAGTAGTGAACATAGATAGAAAAACGTTAACCAAAATTTGTATAATTATCCCCACCAATAATGCTATGACGTCACTTCAAAATTGTACATGGTAAATTATAAGTATTTAATGCAAATTTCTTTTTTATGGGTTTGTCTTCAAATAGAAACAATAATAGATTTATAAACACAAGAACGAAAAATTGTAAAAATATAGACGAAAATATACTTCTTTGGACAAATAAACTTAAAAACTAATTTGGCAAATTGCGTTTGTAATTGGCTCAAGGGTAGTTTTCAAATATACTCAATGTCTGGAAAAAAATCCTTCTCACATTTTAGTGGAGTTACAATGATTTTAAAATTGGTTCATTTCAGTTAGGATGTACAATGGTATGGTTGTGTTGTTTTTGTCATTTGCTAAAATAGGTCTTATTTTAGCACGTACTAGCCCTGCCCACCCACCCTCTCTTAGAGGGTATCTTATTTGCCAAAATTAACATTATCTAAGCAGTTATTAGCCCCGCCCACCCACCCTCCCTCTCTTTTCTTAGGAGATATGTGACTTGCCAAATCAGTCTTTTCTTAGCAATTATTAGCCCCGCCCACCCACCCTCTCTTTTCTTAGAAGGTATGTGATTGCCAAAATCAGTCATCTTAGCAGGTACTAGCCCCGCCCACCCATCCTCTCTTTTTTTAGAAGGTATGTGATTTGCCAAAATCAGTCTTACCTTAGCAGCTACTACTCCCGCCCACCCATCTTTCTTAGAAGATAAATGATTTGCCAAAATTAGTCTTATCTTAGCAGCTACTAGCCCCGCCCACCCACCCTCTCTTTTCTTAGAAGGTATGTGATTTGCCAAAATCAGTCTTATTTTAGCAGTTATTAGCCCCGCCGATCCACCCTCTCTTTTCATAGAAGGTATGTGATTTGCCAAATCAGTCTTTTCTTAGCAATTATTAGCCCCGCCCACCCACCCTCTCTTTTCTTAGAAGGTATGTGATTGCCAAAATCAGTCATCTTAGCAGGTACTAGCCCCGCCCACCCATCCTCTCTTTTTTTAGAAGGTATGTGATTTGCCAAAATCAGTCTTACCTTAGCAGCTACTACTCCCGCCCACCCATCTTTCTTAGAAGATAAATGATTTGCCAAAATTAGTCTTATCTTAGCAGCTACTAGCCCCGCCCACCCACCCTCTCTTTTCATAGAAGGTATGTGATTTGCCAGAATCAGTCATCTTAGCAGATACTAGAGCCCCGCCCACCTACCCTCTCTTTTCTTAGAAGGTATGTGATTTGCCAAAATCAGTCTTATCTTAGCAGCTACTATTCCCGCCCACCCACCTTTCTTAGAAGGTAAATGATTTGCCAAAATTAGTCCTATTTTAGCACCTAGTAGCCCCGCCCACCCACGTTTCTTAGAAGTTATGTGAGTTGCCAAAATCAGTCTTATCTTAGCAGATACTAGTCTCGCCCACCCACCTTTCTTAGAAGGTAAATGATTTGCCAAAATTAACATTATTTTAACAGTTATTAGCCCCGCCCACCCACCCTCTCTTTTCTTAGAAGGTATGTGATTTGCCAAAATCAGTTACTATAAGTACTGATGACTGGTTGTTATGGTTATTGTCCTAAAAAAAATAAAAGGTGGGTTCAGTCACCATCGTTACTAAGAAATCAAGAAGTAAGCCGGAGCTATTTACGCACTAGGTGCGTACAGTGTTACCAATTTTACTTTTATAAAATTACGTTTTTTTTCGTAATTTACATTATAAAGAATTTTTTTATGTTTTTTTTTTGGGACTCCCGAAACCTCCGTACATAACGTACTGGAGTTAATCCGCCATTTTTCAGACACCCGGTATAATTCCGTTCTCTTGAGGATTTTAATTGTCTTTTTTTTTCAATTTTATTTCTCTACTTAACCTAAAAAATACATCACTTATAAAAAAATCGTAAACATTTATACTTAAAATTTTTATTCGATTATGTTATATCAATAAAAACACAAAACAGTGACGATTTCCGAATAAATCACTCTGGTCATAATTTATTTACTTACAAATCAAATGGCCAGACAATGCCCCCCTCTTAAAAATCTAGTGAAATTTTGTTATTCTGCAGGAATACCAACAAAGAGTATAAAGTGTTGCCTACAAGTTGATGCATATTAAAATTAATAGAAAAATTAATGTAGAAAAATTATTCAAAGAAAAATCCAGTTTTTGTTTCTACTTTGGACTTTGTTTCTATTGGCTCAGTTTTAAAAAGATTGATTTTTGTCGAAAACTGGAGAAATAATAAGGGAAACGAATTTGTGGAAATGAAAATAAGTTAAAGGTGTTTAAGAGAAGATTTAATATAGAAAAGTAGATCACAAATCAAAAAACTCACACGGTATAAGTAAGAACAGTAACAGAATCACTATGGATCCCCAGTACACCATATTAGGTATTATGGGTACTGCTAACGTTACCATTAGGGAATCCTGACCTGACTTGACTTGACTTGACTTGACACGACATGACCTGACTTGACATGAACTGACAACTTTCGTTACTTCCACCTTCACCTGCGTGATATACAACGGCACTCTTTTTTAGTTCTTCCGACAGTAGTTCATCAAGTTCCCGTTCGTCCAGCAGTTCAAGTTCGGGCAGCAGCTCCCGTTCCAGCAGTTCCTCGTCCGACTCCTCTAGCTCCAGCAGCGACAAGGAGCGCAGCCGCCCCAAACGCCGCTCCCGCTCCACCAGCAAGCCGGTCCGCCGCAGCAAGGAGCGCAAAGAGAAAGAAAAAGACCCCAAGGACAAAGAAAAAGACAAAGACAAGGAAATAAAAAAAGAAGACAAAGAAGAAGTCAAAGACAAGGAACAAAACAACCGCAAATCCCCCGTCAAAGACGACAAGAACCACGCCCGCGCCAAGTCGCGCTCGCGTTCGCGCTCCGACCGCCGCAAGAGGCGGCGCCGCTCCCCCACCCCGCGCCCCACCAAGATCCACATCGGCCGCCTCACGCGGACCGTCAACAAGGAGCACATCATGGAGATCTTCGGCACGTACGGCCCGATCAAGCACGTGGACTTTCCTAAAGACCACGTGCACCAGCACCTGGGGCGCGGTTTCTGCTACGTGGAGTTCACCAACGCGGACGACGCGGAGAACGCGATGAAGCACATGGACGGGGGGCAGATCGACGGTCAGGAGATCACGGCGGCGCCGGTGTTGGTGCCGAAGCCGAGACCGCCGCCGCCGAGGCGCAGTCCGCCGCCGATGCACATGCGCCGCCCGCCGCCACACAGGCGCACGCCGCCGCGATTCAGGAGGCGTAGTCCGATGCGGCCGATGAGGCGCAGCCCGCCGAGGAGGAGGCCGCACTCGAGGAGCCCGCCGCCGAGGAGGAGGAAGCACAGCCGCTCGAGCTCGAGCAGTTCGCGATGAGGGGAGGGGAGAAAGGGAGAAGAGTTTTTTTTTTAAGATGTAATGTGTGCTTTAGGGTGTGCTGATTAAAGATTTAGTAAAAATCTGGTTTGGTGTTTTTTTGGGGTTTCTGGGAGAAGAGTTTGGGTTTAGTTGAAGTCGTTTTTAGTGTTTTGATGCAAATTATAGTACTGTTTTTTGTTGAGGTTATGAGTATTAGGCAACCAGTAAAACATAGGTTATGTCAAGACGCCAGGTTAGCAAATTTGGGGTGGATTTTTAAATAGCGGTTCTTCTCTCCACGTTTTGAGAGTTTTATCACGAATTTACCATCTTTTTTCCACGCTACTTTATTTTTAATTTTAGTTTTAATAAAAAAATGTTTTTCTTTTTTTGGTTGGTAACAACTTCAAGCTGGACAATGGACAGTTTTTTCAAAATGGTTTCTTGAATGTGTTTCCTTGTGTTTTTTGTTCGTTTTTTCACGCAAAAAGGCTGGACTGAGGTATGATTTTAGTTGTGTTTATTATTATTCTAAGGTTTAATGTAAATGTTCTATTAAATATCGCTGATGTTTGCGAATTTAACGTTTAAATCCGAATTTTCTTACTTTAGGGAAAATGTTAATTCACACATTTGACAGATGAGGCAACTTGATTACTTGATACCTATTTAAAAATCAAAGTTCTAATAACACATTTTAATAGGTTTTTCTACATTTATATATACAGGGTGAGTTACTAAACGCGCGCTCTTCAATACCTAATTATTACGTAGTTACTTTAAAAATCTGGCAACACCTCATACACTCACAGCCAAAAATTACATTTATTTGGGACTATTATCAATGTTTAAGTTTACAATGAATCAGAAAAGTTTGAAGACCCCCAGAATTATTAAGGAAATTATTAGGGGATGAAGCATTTAAAAGAAAGTAGTATTCAATATTTAATTAGTTAAAGCTTTGTTGGGTTTCCATGGCCAACTAAGATCTGGCGTTCGCTATGCCACCGACGGCTAAGAACTCTCAAAAAATTAAATCCACCAATTAAGAACCAGAAACAAAACAACGAATTCGCGCGACATTTGAATTTAAAATACGCGGAAAATTTAAAATTAGAGTACAATTTTTCTAAGTTTTATACTCAATATGAATTAAACTGAATTAATTCAGTCTTACATTGTCAAATATATTTGACTTAGTTTAAATCATATATTTTTTCTGTATCTACATATATAATACTCCTACTATACACACAAGATGTTGAAATTCCAAAGTTTTTAAGGTAATTTCATGATAATTGTCGGAAAATAATTGACAATGTCTATGAAAGAAATAACCAGCAGAAATTGTATACTTGTTACTTCAGCAAAAAAAAAAAAATAATCGAAAAATCAAAAATTTTAAAAACCAAAAAATTGATAAATCTAAAATTTAAAACTTGGAAAAAATCGAAACAAATTGAAAAATTGAAAGAAACATTAAAAAATTGAGAAATTGAAAAGTGAAAAATTCGAACATTTCAAAAATCGACAAATTGATAAACTAAAAACAGAGAAAAACTGAAAAATTGTAAAACTGAAGAATCGAGATTTCAAGAACTTGAGAAATCGATCGATAATAATCGAAATTCGAAAATAAAAAACTTAGAAACGTCAAAAATTGAAAAATCCAAAAGTTAAAAATTTTAAAAATCAAAAAAATGAGAAATCTAAAATTTAAAAATTGGAAGAGTTGACAAAGAGACAAATCGAAGGATTGAAAAATCGAGAAACTAAAAAATCTGAAATATAAAAAATCAAATATCAAATCGAAAAATTTAAATTTAAAAAATCGGAATGTTGAAAAATTCCAATTTTGAAATATCAGAAAACTGATAAATCGATTAATCGAACACTTGAAAAATTCCGAAACTGAAACATTGAAAAATTGGATAATTGAAAAGTCGAAAAATCCAAAATTTCAAAAACCAGAGAAATCGAAAAACTGAAAAATTGTAAAATAGAAAAATTAAAGAATTGAAAAAGTGAAAAATCGAGATTTCAATAAGTCGAGAAATCGAACATGAAAATGTGGAAAAAGCGAGAAATGGGAAAATCAAGAAATTTATTAATCATCAGTCGAAAAATCGAGAAATCGAAATTTATTAATTGGGAAATCAAAAATCCAAAAATTAAAAATTTTAACAACCAAAAAAACTGAGAAATCTAAAATTGAAAACTTGGAAAAGTTGAGAACTAGAAAAATCGAAGAACCGAAAAATCGAAAAATTAAAAAGTCTGAAATATAAAAAATCCAACATGGAAAAAAAACGAAAAAAATTGAAAAATTGAAATTTAAAAGATCGGAATGTCGAAAAATTACAACTTTGAAATATCTTTAATCTTTAATCTTTAATCTTTAATCTTTATTGATCATTCTACAGGTAAAAACCCAGTTACAGAGATCAAAGTGTACAATATAAAATACAATAACACAATAAAATATCGAAAAATTGATGAATCGATTAATCGAAAAATTGAAAAATCCCAAAACTGAAACAAAAAAATTGAGAAATTGAAAAGTCAAAAATTCGAATATTTCAAAAATCGACAAATTGAAAAACCAAAAACAGAGAAAAACTGAAAAATTGTAAAATTGAAAAATCGAAATTTCAAGAAGTCGAGAAATCGATCGATAATAATCGAAATTCGAAAACAGAAAACTTAGAAACGTCAAAAATTGAAAAATCCAAAAGTCAAAAATTTTAAAATCAAAAAACTGAGAAATCTAAAATTCAAAAATTGGAAAAGTTGACAAAGAGAAAAATCGACAAACTAAAAAATCTGAAATATAAAAAATCTAACGTGAAAAAGTCGAAAAAAATTGAAAAATTGAAATTTAAAAAATCGGAATGTTGAAAAATTACAACTTTGGAATATCGAAAAATTGATGAATCGATTAATTGAAAAATTAAAAAATCCCAAAACTGAAACATTAAAAAATTGAGAAATTGAAAATTAAAAAATTCGAATATTTCAAAAATCGAAAAATTGAAAAACCAAAAACAGGGAAAAACTGAAAAATTGTAAAATTGAAAAATCGAGATTTCAAGAAGTTGAGAAATCGATCGATAATAATCGAAATTCGAAAATAGAAAACTTAGAAACGTCAAAAATTGAAAAAGCCAAAAGTCAAAAATTTTAATCGAACACTTGAAAAATTCCGAAACTGAAACATTGAAAAATTGGATAATTGAAAAGACGAAAAATCCAAAATTTCAAAAACCAGAGAAATCGAAAAACTGAAAAATTGTAAAATCGAAAAATTAAAGAATTGAAAAAGTGGAAAATCGAGATTTCAAGAAAAATTGAACATGAAAATGTGGAAAAAGCGAGAAATGGGAAAATAAAAAAATGTATAAATCATCAGTCGAAAAAGCGAAAACTCGAAAACTTAAGAACGCCTAAAATTGAAAAATCGAAAAATCGAAACATTTTAAAAATCGAAAAACTGAAAAATTAAAAATTTAAAAATTGGAGAATTTCACACATAGAAAAATTGAAGAACTGAAAAATCGCGAAATTGAAAAATTAAAAATTTTAAAAATCGAATAATGTAAAATATAAAAAACTCAAGAATCGAAAGATTGAAAAATCGGGAAATCTAGCATGAAAAGATCGAAAAATTTACAAATTGAAAAATGTAAAATTGAAAAAATTGGAATTTTGAAAAACCCCAAAATTGAAATTTCGAAAAATTGATAAATAGTTTAACCGAAAAATCGAAAAATTGAAAAATCCCATAGTTGAAATATTGAAAAATTGAGAAATTGAAAAGTCGAAGAACAGAACATTTCAAAAATCGAAAAATTGAAAAATTGAAAAATCGAAAACCAGACAAATTAAAAAAATTGAATAATTATAAAATTGAAAAATTAGAGAATTGAAAATGTGAAAAATCAAGGTTTCAAGAAGTCGAGAAATCGATCGAAAATCCAAATTCCAATCGAAAACTTACAAATGTCAAAAATTGAAAATCCAAAAATCAAAAATTTTAACAACCAAAAAAACTGAGAAATCTAAAATTTAAATATTGGAAAAGTTGACAAATAGAAAAATCGAGAAATTAAAAAATCTGAAATACAAAAAATTAAATATCCAATCGAGAAATTTAAAATTGAAAAATGTACATTTAAAAAATCGGGATGTTGAAATATCCCAATTTTGAAATATGAAAAAACTGATAAATCGATTAATCGAAAAATTGAAAAACCCCGAAACTGAAACATTGAAAAATTGGAAAATTGAAAAGTCGAAAAATCGAAAAATTTCAATTATCAGAGAAATCGAAAACCTGAAAAATTGTAAAATCGAAAAATTAAAGAATTGAAAAAGTGAAAAATCGAGATTTCAAGAAGTCGAGAAATCGAACATAAAATGTGGAAAAAGCGAGAAATAGGAAAATAAAAAAATCTATAAATCAAGAAATCGAAGAATCGAGAAATCGAAATTTATTAATTGGGAAATTGAAAATCGAAAATTTAGGAACGTCAAAAATTGAGAAATCGAAAAATCAAAAATTTTAAAAATCAATAAACTGAAAAATCTAAAATTTAAAGATTTAAAGATTTTAAAAATCGGGAAATCTAGCATGAAAAGATCGAAAAATTTACAAACTGAAAAATGTAAAATTGAAAAAAATTGGAATTTTGAAAAACCTCAAAATTGAAATTTCGAGAAATTGATAAATCGTTTAACCGAAAAATCGAAAAATTGAAAAATCCCATAGCTGAAAAATTGAAAAATTGAGAAATTGAAAAGTCGAAAAACTGAACATTTCAAAAATCGAAAAATTGAATAATTATAAAATCGAAAAATTAGAGAATTGAAAAATTGAAAAATCGAGATTTCAAGAAGTCGAGAAATCGATCGAAAATTGAAATTCGAAATTCGAAATTGAAAACTTTGAAATGTCAAAAATTACAAAATCCAAAATTTTAACAACCAAAAAAACTGAGAAATCTAAAATTTAAAAATTGGAAAAGTTGACAAATAGAAAAATCGAAGGACTGAAAAATCGAGAAATTAAAAAATCTGAAATACAAAAAATCAAATTTCAAATCGAGAAATTTAAAATTGAAAAATGTACATTTAAAAAATCGGAATGTTGAAATATCCCAATTTTGAAATATGAAAAAACTGATAAATCGATTAATCGAAAAATTGAAAAATTCTGAAACTGAAGTATTGAAACATTAAGAAATTGAAAAGTCGAAAAATCGAAAATTTCAGAAATCGAAAAATTGAAAAACCAAAAACCAAAGATATCGAAAAATTGAAAAACTGAACAATCGAAGAATTAAAAACTGAAAAATCGAGATTTCAAGAAATCGGGAAGTCGAAAAATCGAACATCCAAAAGTCGACAGAGTGAGAAATGGGAAAATCAAAAAATCGATAAATCGAAGTCTATTAACTGAAAAATCGGGGAATCAAAAAAACCCAGAACTTCGGAACGCAAAAAACTGAAAAATCGAAAAATCAAAAACTTTAAAAATTATAAAACTGAAAAATCTAAAATTTACAAATTGTAAACGTTCACAACTGGAAAAATTGATCAACTGATAAATCGACAAAATTAAAAAATTAAAAATTTAAAAATTCGGTTAATTATAATATCGAAAAACTGAAAAATTTAAAATTCAAAAAGTCGGAATTTTGAAAAATCCCAAATCTGAAACATGAAAAATTGAGAAGTTGAAAATTGGAAAAATCGAAAATTTAAAAAATCGAAAAATTAAAAAACCAAAAACCAGAGAAACCTGAAAATTGAAAAATAAAAAACTGAAAAATCGAGATTTCAAGAAGTCGAAAAATCGAGAAGTCGAAAAAGTTCAGAAAGCTAGAAATGGGAAAATAAAAAAATCGATCAATCTAAAAGTCGAAAAATCGAGAAAACGAAGTCTATTAATATAGATTGAAAAATCGTAAAATTTGAAGTTAGGAAAAATTGATAAATCGTTGAAGCGAAAAATTGAAAAATTCCAAAACTGAAACATGAAAAATTGAGAAACTGAAAAGTCGAAAAATCCAAAAATTTAAAAAATCGAAAAATTGAAAAACCAAAAACCAGAGAATTCGAAAAACTGAAAAACTGTATAATCTAAAAATTGAAAAACTGAAAAATCGGGATTTCAAGAAGTCGAGAAATCGAGAAGTTGAGACCTTGAACGTCGAAAAGTTGAGAGAGCGAGAAATGGAAAAATTAAATCGATAAATCGTAAAGCCAAAAAATCGAGAAGACGAAAAATTGAAGAATCATAAAACTAAAAAATCGCCAAACTGAAAATCGAGAAATTGAAAAATTGAAAAACCGAGAAACTGAAAAACGGAAATATTGAAGAATAAAAAAACTGAAAAATCCCAAAACTGAAATATATACCGAAAATCTGTGAAATTGAAAGTTGAAAAATCCAGAAATCAGACCTTTGAACTGTGATCGTCAACAAGAGTGGAACCTTACGTTGTGTGTGTGTTTTTTATGGCGAAATGCGTTCAACAAGCTGGTTTGGGAAACGCTCGAGGTACTTACGGAATAAATGTTCAGATTCAAGTCGGAAGTACAGAACGACTTTTTCTTATAGATAGGACGTTGTAACTTAAAAAATCTGGCAACACCGCAGATCTAACAAATGAATATTACATTTATTTGGAAATATTATCAGTGTGTAAGTATACTATCAATCAGAAAAGTTTGAAGATAGTGGGAAAATATTTTTCAACGAAAATAAATAACAATTTTAGATGAAAGTGTTGCCTAAAAGTGAAATGGAAAAAAAAAATCCCCAGAAATATGAAGGAAATTGTTACTTTTATCCAGTGTTGGCAATGTTGATGTAAACATAACCTATATGTTTACAACTGTTTGACATTAAAGTAAATAAAGTGCGTTTTTTTTTTAATAGACATACATGTAAAGCAGTGTGTGCTCATGTACAGCTAGAGACATGTGTTGAAGTCGAAACATTTGTGATTCGAAAGTATTGATTTTACGCACCACCAGAATTTAAATAAATTAGCATTGCCCGACCGATGTAGACCGACAAGTCAACTTGATACCAAACGCTAAAGATTAATAACCAGTTTTAATTGTTATTAAATAATAAACGAATGCGACATTTGTAAGTATTACTGGTTGCCTAACCGTCTACGTTAAAATGGTGGAGGCGCCGGGTTATCACTTAATTCATCAAAATTAAAACAATAAAATGCATACTTACGTGTCTTACATCCGCGACGACAACTCCTTCCGCTCGTACCGACTCAACAGCCAAAACCCCATCGAATTGGACTACTTCCAGGTAACTCAACATTGTCACACTCCAAAAACCCTCAATTATCTCTCTAGGTGAAAAAAGAAAAGAAACTTTTAACAGCGGTCGTGCGAAATAACGTCCCCACCATCAGACAACTCCTCAACTCCCCGAAATGGTACCACGTCACCGACAAACACGGCTTGAACCTCCTCCACATCGCGATTCTCGAAAATAGGTAAATTCACGTTTCCTCTAACATCTATAACGACCTAGTTTTAGTAAAGAAGCTTTCGATTATCTACTATCTTTAGAAGACTTTCCTTTGGAGATGGTGAGCGACTATGGCGAAACCGCTCTAATTACGGCAATTTTAGTCATAGATATAGATAGGCACGGAGGAATGAAGCTCGGTAGTGACTACTTCGCCTTACAACTCATACAAAGGGGCGCCGATATTTTTTATCGGGACAATTTCGGCTACACCACCTTGTCGTGTGCTTCCTTGAAGCACCACGTCAAGATGGCGGAAGATTTGATCGAGAGAGGGGTGTGTTTAGACCACCAAGACGTGTACGGCAACACTGCTTTACATGACGCTTTGGACCATGAAGGTCCAGATGCTTTGGAGTTCGTTTCGTTGTTGCTGTACCATGGAGCTGACCCTAGAATACGAAACAAAGACGACTTGAACCCTTTCGAAAAGTCGGTTTTGCACTGCAGTGACACCGTTCTTCAAGAAATTCTCTTTTACTACACTTACGACGAGTACACAGAGTTGGCCACTCATTTGAGTGTTTTACTCAGGCTAGCACAGTACGAGTCGTCTCTGCTTTTGATGTTTGAGGGTGCGGTGATTGATGATTTTTCTCGGGGGAGTTACGGGCAGATTTTTTACATAGATGTGGAATATTTGAAGATTTTGATTAAGAGGTTTGAGGGTGCTATTAACACTGTTCTTCCGTTATGTACTCTGTATGAGTGGTCGCGGAACGCGGTTTCGTTTGAGAAGATAGAGGTTTTTATAAATAGTAGTGTGAAGAGTGGAATGGTGGCTTGTCTTCAGAATGAGGAGGATGATCTAGTGTTTCAACACCTCATCGACTGTGAGTTGGATGAGGGTGTTTTGAGTGGTGTGGTGTGTTACTTTTTGTCGTATGGTTTGAATCTCACTGAGAGTGGTTTACAGAGGATTTTTCAAAAGTTTGGGTATTGCGAGTTGTTTAAGATTTTGTTGCACATGGATGTCGAAATGGTTGTTGACTACGACAAACAGATAATGCCTACGTTGATTTACGATATCACTTTAGATCTAGACGGTTATCTCGAAAATATCGACAACTACTCGAGTGAGAACGTAGAATATTTGCTGCGATTTTTTGTTAATAGAAGACTGAATGAGCTGTGTTGGAACATGAACGTGGAGGAAATCAGTCTCCGAATTTGTAGTTTGCCCCAAGTTCCACTTCTATTAGAACTTGCTAGGAACGTCTTTCGTCAGTACTTTATAGATAAGTTTGAAATTCGTACTTCCAGACGGTTTTACACCCTTTTGAATAATTTGAATATCAGTAATGTTTATAAGAAGATCGTAACATATGAAAAGGCTTTGTATTAAAATATGCCAAAGCTTCGTCGTGCCTTTGTTATAAAAAACATCAAAACATACCGCCGTTTTTGACTCCAATGAACCATTTTATTGAATATTGGACCGATTTTTGTAAGTTTTGCTTCAATTATACATTTTGTGGTGTACAATTTTAATTAAAAGTCTGTTGTTAATTCGGTAGTTTTTTCTTTTGTAAAATGCAGTGTTTATATTTTGGATTTTTTTCTTAATATACATAGTATTCTTTGAACAACACAATACTCGAAAACATTTTTTTTAATTTCTTGTAAAGAAATAAGTATTTTGCAGTTAAGCTCCGCCCACTTGGTTCACGGCGAATAAAAAAAATCATCACAATGGAGACTTTCTAATATTTTGTCATTTTGTTTTAATATGTGTAGACTTTTTTTCACAACATGAAACTTAAAACATGTTTAAAATGGAAAATTTGTATAAGAACATATCGATTTGGCAATTAGACTCGGCCCCATAATTGCAAAATCTATATTTCCTTGCAAAAATGTGCCATTTTAAACATATTTTAAGTTTCTTGTTGTGAAAAGATGGCTATGTATATTAAGTCAAAAAATGCAAAATATAAGCCCCACCCACCCGCCCTATCTCAATTCTGATGATTTTTTTATTCATCGTGATCCGAGGGGCGGAGCTTAATTGTAAAATTCTCATTTTTCTACGAGATATAAAAAACATGTTTTTGAGTATCCTGTTGTTCAAAAAATATTGTGTATCTTAAGAAAAAAAATAAAGCCAAAGAGAAGCCCCACCCATACCCGCCCCGATCTCGATTCTCAATTGTGATGAAATTTTCATTCGTTGTCAGACCGAGGGGCGGAACCTAACTGCAAAATCGATACTTTCCTACAAAAATTGACCATTTTAAACATATTTTACTTTTCTTGTTGTGAAAAAAGTTACTTAGATCAAGAAAAAAAATGTGGCCCGCCCACCCACCCTATCTTAATTGTGATGAATTATTTATTCATTGTCACACTGATGGCGTAGCATAATTGCAAAATCTGTATTTCCTTGCAAAAATATGCAAAATACCACCAATTTTCGACCAATTTTCAACGAAATTTCCGAAATTTCACTAAATGCATTTTCTTGTATATTTTGGGCCGAAGAAGTCATATCCGCTTTCATTTCTTCGATAAGTCCAGAGGTTTTTCCAGAATCGTCCTTTGAAATATACAAAATATGCAAAATACCAGCAATTTTCGACCAATTTTCAACGAAATTTTCGAAATTTCACTAAATGCATTTTCCTGTAGATTTCGGACCGCAGAAATCATATGGTTTTTCCAGAATCGTCCTTTGAAATATACAAAAATATGCAAAATACCACCAATTTTCGACCAATTTTTAACGAAATTTTCGAAATTTTACTAAATACATTTTCTTGTAAATTTCGGGCCGCAGAAGTCATCCGCTTTCATTTCTTCGATAACTGTAATGGTTTTTCCAGAATCGTCCTTTGAAATATACAAAAATATGCAAAATACCACCAATTTTCGACCAATTTTCAACGAAATTTTCGAAATTTTACTAAATCCATTTTCTTGTAGATTTAGGTCCGCAGAAATCATTGCCGCTTTCATTTCTTCGATAACTCCAATCGTTTTTCCAGAATCGTCCCTTGAAATATACAAAAATATGCAAAATACCACCAATTTTCGACCAATTTTCAACGAAATTTTCGAAATTTCACTAAATACATTTTCTTGTAGATTTCGGGCCGCAGAAGTCATATCCGCTTTCATTTCTTCGATAACTCCAATTGTTTTTGCCAGAATCGTCCTTTGAAATATACAAAATATGCAAAATACCACCAATTATTATCGACCAATTTTCAAAGAAATTTCCGAAATTTCACTAAATGCATTTTCTTGTGGAATTAGGGCAGCAGAATTCATATCCGCTTTCATTTCTTCGATTACTCCAAAGGTTTTTCTAGAACCGTTCTTTGAAATATATAAAAATATGCAAAATACCACCAATTTTCGACCAATTTTCAACGAAATTTTGGAAATTTCACTAAATGCATTTTCTTGTAGATTTAGAGCCTCAGAAGTCATTGCCGCTTGCATTTCTGCGATAACTCCAACGGTTTTTCCAGAATCGTCCTTTGAAATATACAAAAATATGCAAAATACCACCAATTTTCGACCAATTTTCAACGAAATTTTCGAAATTTCACTAAATGCATTTTCTTCTAGATTTCGGACCGCAGAAATCATAGCCGCTTTCATTTCTTCGATAACTCCAATGGTTTTTCCAGAATCGTCCTTTGAAATATACAAAAATATGCAAAATACCACCAATTTTCGACCAATTTTCAACGAAATATTCGAAATTTTACTAAATACATTTTCTTGTAGATTTCGGGCCGCAGAATTCATATCTGCTTTCTTTTCTTCGATAACTCCAATGGTTTTTCCGGAATCGTCCTTTGAAATATACAAAAATATGCAAAATACCACCAATTTTCGACCAATTTTCAACGAAATATTCGAAATTTTACTAAATACATTTTCTTGTAGATTTCGGGCCGCAGAATTCATATCCGCTTTCATTTCTCCGATAACTCCAATGGTTTTTCCAGAATCGTCCTTTGAAATATACAAAATATGCAAAATACCACCAATTTTCGACCAATTTTCAACAAAATTTTCGAAATTTTACCAAATGCATTTTCTTGTAGATTTCGGGCCGCAGAAGTCATTGCCGCTTTCATTTCTTCGATAACTCCATTGGTTTTTGCAGAATCGTCCTTGGAAATAGACAAAAATATGCCAAATACCACCAATTTTCGACCAATTTTCATCAAAATTTTCGAAATTTCACTAAATGCATTTTCTTGTGGATTTAGAGCCGCAGAATTCATATCCGCTTTCGTTTCTTCGATTACTCCAATGGTTTTTCTAGAATCGTCCTCTGAAATATACAAAATATACAAAATACCACCAACTTTTGTAGTTAAGCATTGTGCAGGACGGTTCTGAATTATAAGTGCGAGCATAACGACGAAATTGTGTGGTTTATAATTAGTGAATTTTTCTGAATTTTTCGATGCTGTTAGTGCCGTTTGCAATATAGGCTGTCCCTAAATTGGAAGTTTGTGAAGTGCATGGTTCCTGAGTTATTAGAAGTTAATTGAACATTCTGTCTCACCGTTATTCTAATCAGTGAGTTTTTCTTCAATCGTTTTTCACAAGAAGTTTTTATTTTGTACAATTGATAAATTACTTTCCTATATTTCTTTACTCCCAGTGTTCATTAATTGTTAATTCCTCCCGTGGCCTACCCAGTCTGTCAGTAATATTAGTCACCGTAACAGGCCCTACTGGTGTGAAGAAGTGTATATGTTTTAATATCCCTCTTTTTTCCCAGAAAATATTGGTACATTAACAATGCCAAGCTATTGTGTCAGATGCGAATCAGCCGTTACACCCTCTACTCCGTCGGTGAAATGCACCAAGTGTAAAAAATATGCTCATGTAAAATGTATTAGTTCACATCCCTCTGTTTTAATTTCTGGTAATTCGTGGACTTGTGATGTTTGTACACAATCGCCAACTCCATCTTTGTCCGACCATAATACAAATATATCTATCGTTGATATTGAACAAATAATTAAAAAACAATTTAATATATTTAAGATTGAATTGAAATCAGAGATCTCTGAAATCATTGATGCTAAGCTTGAGAAAATTAATAACAGAATCCTAGCTGTTGAAAATAAAGTTCAGCACCTTGAGTCGGAATTTTTACAGCTTCAGGACAATTCTTCTAAATATGGCGTTTCTGGTAATATTAATGATGTAATATCTGAACTTGCCGACCGCAATGACCGTAGTAATAATGTCCTTCTATTTAATATTCCGGAATCTAGTGCTCACTCAATAGATGACAAAGTGAGAGATGATTTAAACCATGTCTGTTCTGTTTTAGATCCATTGGGATCATTTCCTCAGCCCAAAAAAATTGTTCGTCTTGGTCTACCTAAACACAGTGTGATACGTCCATTAAAGATAATTTACGAGAACAGTGAGGAGGCTAAGAATATTTTGCGTTCAAATAAAAACAACACTAACAAACAATTTCATTTTCATGCCGATCTGACCAAATTGCAACGTGAATCTAATAGTTTGATCATAAAAGAGTTTAAAGAGAACATTTCAAAAGGTGACAAGAAAATAACTCTCAGATACAAGAATAATATGGCTTTTATTTCGAAAAAACGGGAGGTCCACAAGTCTCCAAAAAACTAAGCTTTCTGTACTTTAATGCGGGTGGCCTTCGTACGAAGATTAAAGACTTCTCTCTATATGTTAATTCTTGTGTATACGATGTCATAATAATAACTGAAACTTGGTTGCATGGTGCTATTTGTGACGAGGAACTGTCATTGTCAAATTACAACGTCTTTCGTGCGGATCGTAATGTTAATACTAGTAACAAAATGTTAGGTGGTGGCGTATTAATAGCAGTAAAAAAGATATATCGTTCTTCGTTGGTAAAGTTGGGTAACAAGGTGGACAGTGTATTTATCCGCATTAATTTAAATGATTTGCAATTGGTCATTGGGGGTGTTTACATTCCACCTAACTCGGCTGTAGAAATTTATAAAAGTCATTGCGTGGATCTGGAAAGTGTTTATAACATAATCCCTGATTCTAATGTCATAATTGCAGGTGACTTTAATTTACCTCATATTCGTTTTGATACGTTTGGTATGCTCAATTCAGTTTGTTACTCTCCTGTAGTGGAAGTGTTATGGAACACGTATTCATTTTTGAATCTGTATCAAGTTAATAAGATTCCCAATAGCAGAGGTATATTTTTAGATTTAGTATTTTCCAATTTTTGTGACCTGGAAGTCAACACTGCGATTGATTCTCCCTTTTCTGGTAGTTTACACCATACTCCTTACTCATGGTTGATTAATGGCTCAATTGGAGATACTTTGAGTACCGAAATTGAAGTTTTTGATTTTGCCAAGGGCAATTATATTCTCATTAACGAGTTTTTTGCTTCTGTTCCTTGGGATATTTATTTCCGTGATTTGAACCTTGATGATAGGATAAAGTTATTTTATGAGATTCTTTACTGTG